GGTTCCTTTCCAAACAAGCAATAGCCCCAGACTCCATCAATGTCATTAAAGGAGTCCAGCCTTAACATGATGACCTGATGAGATCAATGGAGACTGGGGCTATTGCTTGTTTGGAAAGGAACCCTGCAGCCTCAGGACCGTTTCTGGAACCAGTTTGACATCCCATGATCTCAGTGGTCAATGAAGCAACAGTGATTGTAGACATTATAAACACTTTGCTGTTCAACCACATCTAGTAATAATCCTAACTGCTTTAAGATGGAGCAAAGCAGGCGATTGGTCCATATCTGTGTGTAATCAATTAATATTAAACAGAGTTATTTTTAATCCAAATATGATTATCAGTAGCAAAACATTCTAATAACTTTATTAGTATGTTGCGCTGGTCAGTCTGATCAACATTCAAGCTAAAGCTTTTCCAGCCTAGCCGTTGGATTAGCTGCAGCATAGCAGCACATTTCAGCATAATGAATTTACCGCTTTCTTCTAACATTTAGGGATGAACCATGTTGAATATATTTCTACATCATAAACCTATTTATGAATGTCATAAATCTAGATATTCAGTTAGATCAGGTGAACGGCGTGTGGGATCTATGTTGAGTGTTTCCCACTGTTATCCAGTGTGGGTGTCCTCATCGTGAGTCTTTGTGTTCACGGTTAATGTCGTGACATTTCTCAGCCTGTCAGACATTAACTGAGTCACATGGGCTCCCAGCATTGCCTCTGCCAGCAGAGGGCGCCATCTTTGAAGGCAGCGGTGGGGAGAGCATGGGGGGGTTCAGAAGGATTCCCAGACAGCTGGTCCATCAAACCAAACCATTCCTGAGCCATTAAGGCCGGCTGCTGGTGGCTCCTTAGGACATCAGTCTGGGTCACTCTGATATTTTATAATTAAGGGGAGATATGAGCAATATGACGACAGAAAGAAAGAAAGAAATAGGAACGGGTAAATTAGTACAGATGAAAGAGAAAGCATGTTGAATTATTTCTCTGTGGTTCCTTGATCGGTGTCTTTCTACCTGACAGGTGAGATTCATGGGTGGAAATGTGCTGCTAACTGAGGCGCCTGAGCTGTTTATCACTCTGCAGCAAGCGGTCGTCCACTGAAAGCTGCTGCAGACAAATAAAGAAGTGTTTTGGACGTGCAAGTCTCTGCAGAGGCTTAAAGAGGAACTACAGCAAAAT